GTTCTGTATCAAGTGCAGTAGTTGCTTTGTCCAGTAAATACATGCAAGGTTCACTTTTAGTAAATCCCATTTCTTATTATGACATTGTGCAACTCTTTTATATCTGCCTGTGATATTTATGTTAGATTCATAATAACATTTGAAGCAATTATTTATTAGCTAATCCTTAAGCAAACTGTTGCATAAGGGTGAAAGAAAGGTTATAAAAAAGATTTTGCCATTTAGCCAATCTAATTTGTTTTGATTGTTGATAGCTAAATTATCTGGGCTTCTCATCCAGCTTCTTAGTATGTACCATATATAACCTTTTTTGTGACCACAGTAAGACATTTAGTGATTTTTCTTGGAGATACTGTACGATCATTGCCAGCAACAAACCCAACAAGAGCCAAAAAGCTCTTTGTGATTCTGGAATATATTCTCTCAGATTTATTTGGACAAATATTACACAATCCTTTTCCTACTGACCGATTAGAAACAGACCCGGAGATTAGGCTGTCTAAATTTCTTCCAGAACAAGGATTACAGAAACACCAAAAGGCAAATTAAAATGCAATCAATTCAATAACATAGCAGGTCAATTCTGAGTGCATTTATCTTTATTATGTCTTAAATACTGGCATGGTCATGGTTGAGAGACTGGAGTTCTGTATATAGTTCCCAGTGACTGAGTACAGGGGTGTGTGACTGCCCAGGTGTTCTACTCCTTGCACAGGCCTTGAAGCAGTCTGGGCCTGCAGTCACGAAGTACCCACGGACAAGGGGGAGATACCTCCAGCAGGCTGCAAGTAGGTTACTCTAATCTGGTCGGGCACTAGCCAAATGAGTTAACGGACCCAACGTGGTGACTAATAGATCTCAAGAGAGAGAGCAAGGGGAGTGAGAAGGAAAATCTGAGTGTAATTATCCAAATCGCAGTTCAAGAGCCATGGTCAAAGACAGCTTCACTGGTCAGGAAGCCGAAGGTTCAGAAGCCAGGCAATACGCTGGGGAAATCTTGAGACAGAGACTAGGAGCTCCACTTGGTGAAAACCAATGCTGAGCGTTGAGGTGAAGGTGGTAGGGTTTAAGTATTCCGGGATGTAGTGGGTGCGGTGATGAAGGAAAGGTCCGATTGGTTGATTAGTTAATGCAATGGCGTTTGCAGGAATTGGAGGAGACTGGAGTCTGATTTGGAACAATGCGGGGTCGTTTGCGGGGTTGCGTAGGGTTGGATTCTGATTATGAATGGTCTTGACAGTATCTTCCCATAGGCTGGAAAAGCTAATGACTTCTGTTCCACAGTGCCACTACCACTGGAAATGGAAAATAAACTCCCTACCTTCTATTAAGACACTGTTACCTGTCTGTTAAGACATTTCTGCAAACCCAACCTGTTGTGTGAGGCATTTTCACACATTTTTTTAAAGTATTGGACCTCTTGGTGAGGTTCACCTAAAGCTGTCTAGTTATACTGACAAAAACTGACTACAGCCCACATCACAGCTGGGAAGCTGCTCTGTCTGCTGAAAGAGGAAATTAACTGAAGAAAGATTGGAGGGGAGTGCTCTTTGAACTAGTCAAGAAAACATTTGGTAAAAAAATTGAGTAAATATGACCTTTTGAACCAGTTACGTAATCAAACCTTTTGGAGGTTAGAAGTAAGGATTCAGGATATGTGGACAATGTAATTGATGATTGTAGAGTATTGGAAAATCAAGTTATTTAAATTCAACATAATTATTTTGATCATGTGTGGACTCTCATTAAGTTATTCCCTTTAGGAAAACTTTAATTTTGTGAATGTTATATATAGAAGCCAACTTTCAATATGAAGCCAGTATAAGCATACCTGTAAAAGCTATTTTCACTCTTTTTCATTCCCTTCTGTAAAATTATTATTACAGATGTTAAATAGGAGGTACCAATTACTGTATCACATTTTTTGTCATAATAAAAGATCATAGATATTTTTGACAAATGTTTAAACATGTTGAATACAGTTTAACTGTCACACATAGGTGGTTAAGAAAATAAAGAATTACCTCAAATACAGGAAATAGACTGAACACGATAATCAATAAATCGATAATCATATGATAATCAAAAATAATCATAATCCCCAAATTGTAAAGATATGCCAAGAATATACTTGAGTAGTTGGTATACAGTAAATAGAGGCATTTGAGTACTTTGTTCTCTGGCCGAGTTTTAGTAAAACGAGTAATAAATCAGGCACACTGGGTTAAATAAAGTTTTATTTATTTATATTTATTTTATTTACACACCGAACAACACATAACATACTGAAAAGTGAAGAAAAGAAACACAAAATTTAACAACAAAGTTACATTACTTATGAACAACGAGTACAAAAGGCTAACATCCTGACCCACCAGAAAATCCCCAGACTGTTACTGTGCTCGTCACAGTCCCGCGCGTGGTCGTGCCCCCCCGCCACCCGTTCTGTCCCGCGCACCTGGGGCGCGAACCCGGGTCTCCGGCGTAACGCAACAGGGAACCAGCTGCGTGAGCTAAAGGAGACCTCCCCCAGCTACGCGCAGTGAGGGCGCTGACGTCACCACATTAGCTCTGCTACATTACCAAGTATTTAAAGATTCTATATAACACCTACAAGGGTATGGTCTACAGTTAAATCTCTCTATATAAATCAGGATGCTACAGTACAAAGTGAATGGAGAACCTTTATCCTTATTCTAGAAATGTATACACTATACCCTAACCAGGAGAGACCGTTTTTAACCTAGGGATTCTTTATACAGGAAATCAGAGTTTCCTAAAAACAACAGAATACCTTTCTTATCAAGGTTCAAATACTGAACTCGAATCTGGTCTTAAAAGCTGATTGGAGCAAGGACTTCCTGCCTGGCACATGCTTTTTTTCTGTCTTTCTGTCTCTTCCTGTGCCCTTCTCTCTACCTCTTTGACTTTTGATGATAATCATTTACACGGAATTTAATTTAACAAGGTAAACCAGACGATTACATTGATCCATGTGTCTCAGGTCCCCTACCACTCAACAAACACCTCAACAAAAGTAAAACATTCTTAGAGGTGTTGTATTTCTGTTGAGAGATACTTATTTCAAGTTGCTCAAAGTGGTAGTTTGCAATTCATGTGAAATGAAATGTAATTTGATCCTGATATGATGACGATGATGATAGCTAGTCATTTCCTTATACTATATTTCACTGGGCTCATTTCCTTAAATCTGAATACTTCTTCATTTTGTTGTCTGTATTTTCATATTTAGTGTTTATGTATTTAACAGCTACTTTTACTAATAATTAAAGGAAGGGAGACTGGCCCAGTTTACAGTCAATTAGGCAACATATGGCTACAGCCTGTAGGTCAAGACCATTGTGTCTGTGTTGTTCTGTGCACAAACACAATTAGAGAACTTCAGCTAACTATGAACTCTCTGGATCTCCAAATGTCTGGCCAACATCTTAAAGCAGTGAAATACAATACTTACTCATTAAATAGAATCTCAGCGTAAACTAGCATAACAGCCTCTGCAATAAAAAATGTTTATTTTTTAAGTGTACTCACCATAAAACTCATTTCAGAGCACATACAAATTGAAGCCATAAGGAAAGCCTACTTAAGATAGTCATTTAATGATGCTTCTGACATTGCTTCTGACACAAGTTTAACATCACACTTTCTATTATTGCATCTTTGAAAATTTGCTTGTATTTTTCTGTTGATTTGTTTATCCTCATGATGAGTATGTTGGACATACTGCTTTTTAAAATGTGTCTTTTTTAATTGGAAGGCATATTGCAAGAATAATGAGGACCATACAGTAAAAGGGCTTTGAGGATATACAGTATGATTTAGCATTTTAACAATATGCTTACTGGCTAAGACAGTTAAAAAAAATATTGCTTTTCTGTGAATTACTATCTTGTTAATATGTTCTAATCCCTTGGTCATTTTGTTTCACAATTAACACAGTTTTGCGTTTAACTTTAAAAATACTCTTTAAGTAGCATGAAATTAGCTTTAGTTCCCAATGTTTCTTTTTCAAGGATATTCTGGACTTTAATACATGTATTGATAGACATAATTTGTTCTTTCACAGGCTATGCAGTTCTGCAATCACACAGCTGAATACCTGTCATGCTATCTCATTCCCTTCAAGTCTGCCGTGACCAATCTTATCTGAGGCTGCATCTCTGACAGCACATCTAATGAGCCATTTTGTGAAGTATTATTTATCCTGCTCAATGTGTTAAAAGATGGACCCCCTGACATGCACAGCTCTAAATGTATTGATCTACTGTGTCAGAAGTTAAGAGCCATTTAATTAGCCTTTAAGGGGTTATTAGGGAGGGGGGGATTCATAAGAGACTTTTTACTGAATAAAACAAGAAAATATTAACAAAAGGGTGTGTGGTAGCATTTCTGATTTTTTGATCGTAAGTGTGTGTGGTTTTTTTCTCGTTAGTCCTTCAGATAAGAAATCTTAGAGGAACAATTTGTGATGGTGAGATTAGTAATGCAAGTATCATCCATTAGAAAACATTACAAAATAACCATACAATTCACATAAAATGCTGTACATCAAAAGGAAAGACAACAATCAAGCATGAAGCCCTTGAAAAATCAGAAAAAAATTGCAAACCTATTCTGAAAGGCACTGATTCATTATGAATAATCTAGCAGAGTCTGAGACATTTTTGTAATTGTTTAATCCTTCAAACTAATAACTGATGTGGTTAGTTTTGAAGCTACATTCTCAATGGTAAAGGTTGTTCTTAATCAGTGAAAGGTGCAGTCAAATTAAAAGAGTGCATTGGGGGTTTGAAATGGTGAAGCAAAAAGTACTGGAAGCCATCCACTGTATCTATTGCTGATAAGTCTTTCAGACTAGTTTTATTTGGAATTGGGGCACAATGTGTTACTGATTAACTGAGATGAATCCTTCAGTCACAGTAACAGAACCATTTCACCTACAGTATGTAACTGTTATCCTAGACCCGCAGTATTTCTGCATAAATTCCCAAACTTCTCCCACTTCTCGGTCAGCCAATGAAAAACAACCATACCAGTCCTTGTGATCTGTTCATTTCTCTTCACTTTGTCCATAAAGCTCAATCTGATGATTGTTAACAGACTGCTTCTGTGCGGGAAGGATTGTTTCTAGGATCATGCACACTAAAGGAAATCAATGGTAAACGATTTCAATTTGCATCTCTCAGATCTCTACAGATACACTTTTCTTTTACATTGTATTTTTTACAGGGAGGAAGAAGTAGTATTCAGAAACTATTCATAACTGAAAATGCTTCAGATGCTGAACGATACATAATAACCTTTTAATGTTTTAATATTTACGGTGTCTTTTGTTTTCCATAGCAATGTGTCTGCATAATGTACTTGATTATTCTCTTTAACTGTTAGTCTGCACATAAAGGAATAAATGCAGTCTACACTTCTTTCCTTCGGAAACATTCATGGTATGTACACACAGCAGTAATTCTCAGAGAAGAAGAGAGATATAATTTTAAATCTGAAGGTTGTGGCAATGTGAAAGGGAATTGAAGGTTATCATACTTCCCCGGAAAAATAGAAGAGTATTGAATGGCCATATACATGGTCCACAGGTATTTCATCCATTAAAAATGGATAGGGATTACTATGCACAATCGGAAGGAAGAGATCCAATTGCTTCATGACATATAGACTCTGTTAGTGATTACTTGTAAAGTAATTAGTGAAAGCAAGGCTGCTGATTAATTTTAAATCAGATACAACATTACTTGATGAACAAACAAAAAGCAGAAGGGAGAATGGGTTTCTAAAGGTTATGTGGACACACATGAATTTCCTCAGGGATTCACGGTGCTGAAGAATTAGTTGCAGGTTAGTGATTAAAATGCACAGTATAGGTTTGACTGAATGAATGGAATCATAACTGCAAAGTCTACCGTTGTGTTCTAAAATGAGCAGAGAGATTTTGTGGTGCAGATGTTCGAAGCCAAGATTTAAATACCATGTAATGACAAGAGGATGATTCAGAGTAAATAATCTTCGATGGAAGAATAGAAGGAAACATATTTTGTACATCTGCTGGAAAAGAACACTTATCTTGGCCCAAGCAGGGCATAATTCCGTTGTATTCAATAACAATGTGTTCGGCATGTTCCTGAATCTGACACCACAGTTTGTGTGATTACTATGCTTTTGTAGCTTACGATAAGGTGAAATTAATTTTTTTACAAATTCAAAAGTATATACACATAATCAAATAAATTAATTTGGCAAGGTCAGGGAATTTGAGCAGACAAACATGGTGATGATTTCTGTAGATACAGTATGTGGGTTTCTGTTACATCAGAAATAAAATATATGAATATTTAGGCATTTTAATTTAGGTACATAGGTATATAGGTAGAGTAGCCCGGATTACACATATAGGCATGTCAAGTGTTTCCGAGGTGGTTATTTTATGACTATATGTTCCAGTGTTTTGTGTTTAATTAACGCAACTGGGGGGTGAAAACACTTTACACCAAGCAATTTCTGGGCGCAAACTACATAGCATAGCGTATGCACTTTGCACTGTGGTATCAGGGGAAGGGTTTCATGAAAAAAATACAACTACAATACTGACACAGGAGAAAAAAATCGGCCAGCTATGGGAAAGATCTGACATAAATTATTGTGACCATATTCCCACTCATGGTTTTATTTAGATTTAGATATATTTACTCATTGTATTATGTTAATGGTTAAATTTACAGCACATACAGTATAATTTTACACTGGAGCGTTGTAGCCACAATACTGCTATAGACATCATAGCAGTTCAATCAGAAATTAATAACACTGTCACCATTTCTTCCACTACTACTACTAAAAATAATAACAAAAAGAACATTCAACACATTAAAAAACCTTCACTTTCTCACATTATACAGCATTAATCAATTGACACTTTTCAGTTGCATGTTTAGTTTCTATGGTATTATTGTACACTTTATAATTATTACAAAATAAAGCTTACTTTAGTTACAAGCAAGAGCTGGAGGTGATTCCTCTGGGGCGCTGCAAATAGAAAACAAATACACTAATATAATACACAGTGCTATACATATGGCTAATATCCATATGCAGTGCATATCCTGTGTCTTATTGAAATCTACTTTATATCATATGATACACTTTATAGTCCATACAGTTGTTTATACTTTGTAGAAGCTGAGCTCCAAGTGTTTCATTTGTTCGTATTTGTTCCTAACTTTGTTTGATATGCAGTTGCTGCTCATTTGAAGACTACAAGTACACTACTGAGTGGCTCCTAAGCAGGACCAGACACAGACCGAAGATTGCAGTTATCTGTGGATCTGGACTGGGACTTCTTGCCGATTCAGCCACTGACCAGCAGTCCTTCCTTTACAAAGATATTCCCAATTTCCCCATGAGCACTGGTGAGCAGAAGAAAACAATGTGTTACTTTGAGGTTTTAAAGGAAATCTTGCCAGCGTTATCTGAAAGAGAATTTAGTTAACTCACTTTTCATGATATAACATGGGACTCTCCTATTAAATAGCTTTACATATATAGTATAGTAGAAGTAATATGTTTCAGTTGAATTATATGTACTGTAGATATACTATATGTTTATTGCATAATAAATATACCGAATATTCTATATATATACTAAATTTTATAATAATAATTAATTATATTTATATAGCGCTTTTCTGGACACTCCACTCAAAGTGCTTTACAGGTAATGGGGACCCCCCTCCACCACCACCAGTGTGCAGCCCCACCTGGATGATGCGACGGCAGCCATAGTGCGCCAGAACGCTCACCACACACCAGCTCCCAGTGGGGAGGAGAACAGAGTGTTGAAGCTAATTCAGAGATGGGGATTATTAGGAGGCCAATTTATTACATGAAATGAATGTAAGGTTTAAAAAGAAGACCAGACTATTTCGTGGAAGTGGAATGTAAGATATTCCAGCCAGCTCACTGCTTGGAGAAGCAGGTCGCCATGACATACAGTACACGTATTGTATGCCAGTGTTTCCCCACACATCATCCTACTTGTCTTACACTACATCGTTCACCTGCTTTATTTTCCAGGAGTGATCCAGCAGGCATAACCCTCAATGTCATATCAAATAGTGTCATAGCACTGTGCTGGCAGATCTCCCTTCAGCTCAGCTCCATTTCCAAACTGGCATGACACTGAAATACTGTCTGATATCATTTACAGGGGGCAGTACATAAAATGCATCTGTTACCCACACTGGGCACATGTACAGTAGCTCATCTTCCTTGGGTAGTAAACGACAGGTCCATGTGTAAATGCAAACCGGGTATTATTTACTTTCTTACTAGGTTTTATTTTACATATAGTACAGTATGTTATTCTACAATGTTGTTTAGCTACAAGAGACAGAGGGATAGAAAAACTGTAGTATAAATAATAAAGAACTCAAATGTCAACATGAAAAATGTCAACATTTTCAGCATGCTGTTAAAATATGTAAGATATAAGTGTACAACTAATTCCAGTGCTAATGTGGATTTATAATAGAAACCACGGAAAAAAATAACCACTGGACAATCAATTCTTTATGTTTCTGAGTCACCTGAGTTTGGATACTTTGGCATTTACATTATCTCAACAGTTAACAATAAAAGCTATTAAAACTATACTATTATATACAGTACATGTGTATAGGCTAATGCATAATGCTGTTTATTATGAACACTATGTACGTGCAGATCTGTCATTATCATTCAATAATGCATTATCCTTGTTGGATCCAGTGCAATCTGCAAACTGCCATAACGTCAGTGTAATCAGAGAACAATCTGAATCTAAGCAGCATCTTACTCCTCATGTTAACTATAAATGATATTTTGAAAATGTTTAATAAGGAAAGCAGTTACTAGAATCAGCAAATTGAGCCAACAATAGAACTAACATTACCTTTTCTAATATGGTTTGATAAAATACTAATGGCATTATGAATAGTAGATTCATAATCTTTCAAACGTTTATTTGTGGTCGTTAAATGTAGCAGTTAACTATTGTAATAGTAAATACTCAAATTGAAATCTCCTAAATGTTCAATATATGAATGTATATATATATGAAAATAATTAAAATTATTGGGTTATTTCTCATGTAAATTTTATTTGCAACCCATAAATGAGGTAGGGATGCCCATAAGGTTGCCAGTTAGGGGCTGGTAAGCACACCTTTAGCTTATACTGTCCTTATAGTGTTACTGTATATTATACTTATAGTGTTCATTCAGTTGCAAGCTAATCAGCTGGAGTCTGTCTGGAATGCCAGGAATCTCTAAGTGTAAAAATCAGAGAAGCACATACCTGTGAAGGCATCATAGACCTGTCACAAGAAAGACACTGAACAAACAACAGTTTTAAAATCAGTTTTGGTGGAAGCAGATCATAGTTTACCCACAATGTTAAATTATGCACTGGTTTTAGTCTATCACAGTCTATAGCTGACTGTCAGTACACGTGAATGTTTTCAAGGAGCAGTGTATGTCATTGTTTTTTTTTTTAGCTGTTACTCATTCTCTAACTGAGAATATTTAATATTTAGATAATAATAAGTCTGAACAATAAACCTAGTTATTAGTATTACGATCCTGAACTATCAGTTTGTTTAATCTCATTCCGGAGGTCAGTTTTGAGTATTATATTATTGACTATGTAGAAAAGTTCAGAACTTAGAAGGTCACATTCAGGATGCTCAAGACTGCTCAAGAGTCTGCTGATTCTTTGAGTAATGTAATTTGTATGATGCTGCACACTCATTTTAACACCTGATTCCCACACAAATAAAGGCCCTCTCAATCACAGTACAGCAAATGACATATCTGGAGTTATTAATACTAATAAAAGACCAGTCTTCTAAGACAATGAAATGGTCAAAGTTTTATCATATAAAGCTCAGATTCAAGATAAAAAATCTGGTAGCCTGTATTAATTGGCTGTTTGATGTAAAAAACAATATTCAGCTTAGGTTTTATGTTACTCATAAATGCAAGCTTAGATTAATGATGTTCTTTCGTCAAACACTAATAATTGCAGGTAATTTATAACATTTTGTTTTGATGTTAATAAAAGCTGGTCTGGAAAATAGCATGGGGCTTTGTGTTCCAATCTGTAATACAAGCTGCTTATAATCCTTCATTTGTCACCCAGGCTTGTCAGTTAAGAGAGGTTTATCGTCAAACTCATGGTAAACCCTTTCAATTGCAAAAGAAAAACTTTTGTTTTGTTTATTTTTGGCCTTATTATATCAGGGCTAAGGCACTAAAATATTCACTGCTTTATCACAATAGTATTATCCTTAACTGATAATATGGAAGCTGTGGATCAATAGTCCACTTTCCACAGAAATTCATCCCAATTCTTCAGGAGTAAAGGATTAATACAACATAAAATATATTTTATAAAAATCAATGTAGAAAACATTCCAATTAAATTACCAAAAATATATAAATGAAAATATGTTAATATTTATTCAATTTCAACATTTCATTATTCTCCACAAGAAAAAACAAATATTATTTGCCAGTTAATTATACAAAGCTTGATTAGCACGGCTTTCCAATCAAGGAGAATAATCCTCAGACATTCAATGGGAGTTTCCTTCTGTATTAAATGTGTGATACTTAGGTTTAAATTTAAAAATCAAGGCCTCTCTCTAGAGAGGAACTTGGGAAAGTCAGTATTTACATTTTAAAATGCTGTATTGTGGTAAACGATTAAATACTTTAAACAATTATTTTAAGAAAATTAAGATTTGATTTTTGCAGTTGTTTTGTCATCATTACTGGTGTTAATTTTCTTTCTAGAAGCCCCCGAGATTTTTGAGTCATGGTTTTGCTACAAAGATGAGTCATTGTTTTGCTATAAAGAATTAATTCACTTCATCTCATAATACACAAAGTGGGTTTATATTTTTTGTCACTTTAAACCGTTATAGGATTGGAGATCTTATTTCTGGATTAAAAACAAAGCCAGGTTTGCACTAAAGTAATTTTTTGAAAGCTGTTCTTTGCTTTGGTCTAATTTGTACGCCACAAATGTTCACATTGCATGGACTTGATCAGGCTCCCCAACCCTGGTGTTGGATGACAAGTACAATATGTGGGCCAGGTTTCCAGGTCTCTTTGAAGGACCAGGGCTGTGCTGGGAGAAGTTAGTAAAACTGGTCAAATCAAGCCAATAATAAACTGATCTGGATTATGAAGAGACTGAAAACCTGTAGACACACCAGAATCAAGATCGGAGACCCCTGCTCTACAGTACATAGTACATAGTGTAGGAAATACTAAATGTATATAAAATTGTAAATTTAGATATGGAATGCACAGTTGTATGGTCTATAAATTTAGTAATTTAATTTCAGAAGATTTTTCATTCAGTTTCCTCTTGTTGCTATCTAACAATTCCATGTTTTTTTGTAAATGAATTGTGCTCTGTGATTTTACATGAACAAAACAGCAAGGCTTTGTGCTGAGATTTCTCTCACCCCTTGTCCAGTAATGGCGCACCAGACCCTCTCATTTGCCACACAATTTATCACAAGACGAATTGCCTCCGTGCTCGTGCAGGCACAGTGATTAAAAGTTAACTGAAAATGGCACTGAAACAAATGGAACGAAGGAAATGGATTTCAACATTTTGCAGATACACCTTAGAGTCGATTAGACAGATAGCACCTGGTTTGTCAGACCAGCAACACTAAGCTACGGCGCCTAATGGAAAAGAGCTGATCTTTCTGTGGGTCATTTTTATTCAACACAGTCGTGTTTTCCTCTGATGCAGTCACAATTTCTGCATTAGCTCCATAGTCATTACATTAGTTTATAACATTTAGTGTAATGTGTGCATTTTGTTGGTTGAAAAATATGAATGCATGTCCATAATGCATACTGTAGGTCTGTATGACCATATGAATGTATTGTATGTGTGCCCTATGTCTAATAGAAAGGATCAGGCTGCTGCTGTAATAAGCCTGCCTTTTGAAGTGCCAAACAGGATTCAATGCCCCTGCTTGAACTGCCTGGTCTTCCAGTGTTAGATGGGGCTTAGCAGTGGGTGCTGTCACTAAATTGTGCTGCACAATGCAGGGGGCTGCTGTTGCCGTGCCTGCTGAGCCAGGGGTAGGGCACTCTGTACATTGGCTTCTCGCTCTTTCATTTTCATACACTTGAATTTTCTCCATGATAGAGTTAGGTTTTGCACGTCTGGCAAACCGAATTGCTTTCTGAACGCCAAGGATGTCTTTCAGAATCTCTTGAAAGATAATCTGGCATGAAATCGGTGAACCTATAGTCATGTGCTGACAAAGGCTGCTTCCACAGTTTGACCTTTGTCCAGCCTGATCTTGCAAAACACCACATGATGAAACTGTATTGCATTTTCACTGCAAACTCTTTTCTGCTTACATCCCCAATACGCGCATTCCCAAGATGCACAATTTCTGTCTGCTTTATGCTCAGAACTGTCCACTTGCCAATAAACGTCCCTCTGATGATTGGTTGTGAAAGAAAGCCCCTGGTACTACGACTTTCAACTGGACAGCACTTTAAGAGCATCTCCAGTCTTGACTTTGTGCACATGCATTGCAAACAGATTGCAAGCCATTCACTGCTGCATCCATGCAACAGGTCTTGACATAAAAAAGAATCATCATAAAACTTAACAACTATCCAAGCCTTTTATTATGGCAATATAAAATCCATTTGCATTTTTCAATTCAAAGAGCTGATGAAGCACACAGATTTTTAATCTCTAGTTTTTTTTTCTGCATATCACACACAAGCTGAATTAAATGGTCTGGTCCTATCTGTGAGTGCAAGAAAAAAAGGTCTTTTTCACTACCTGTAAAATGGCATTGCAAATCAAATCAGTATAATTCTACTGCAAATGGTTTTGGAATGCAGAACTTGAGTAATTAAAATAACCCGCCTTCATATTCTTGATCCCTTCGTAATGCTTTGAAAAGATAAACTGTACAAAAATAACAGGAAATTTCCTTTCCAATTTTGATTCGTTTCATTTGTTGTGCCATTGAAATGGTAAATCAAGTTCTGCTAGTAATTTTTCAAGATCATAAAACTTTGGTATGGTAAATTGTATTTCTCTTAGTTATCCTTTTATGACTGAAAGTTTTTTTTCTGCAATGTTTGGAAGAATGCCAGTTTTTCATACAGTTAATATTAACCTGAACTCTCCAGCAGTAACTTGTCTTCTATGCCATTTCATTATTTGTAAAAAATTAATAAACAATTGTTGATGCAGTTAAAAACTGTTTTCTAAAAATGAATTTCTGTCTACACACAGCAGTTTAAATATCAGATGGATTTTTTTTTATGTCTCATGTAATGTTTTGTTTTATTATTGGTGCTAACGGTTTAATAATTGTAATAATAGACATGTATACTGTACTGTATATCATCTGTCTTATCGTACTTAACACCCCTGTCTACTTTATACACAAAATTTCAAAATTCCCTGGAACATTTCAATATTTTAATGACCTTAAACAAATGCATATTTATCACTTCCTTTTTGTCCTTCTTCAGGCTGGCCACAAGGTACATTTATAGCAAGGATAACTTGAGATAAACCCTTGTACAGCTACAAAACATAGCAGGCAAGCAGGCCGAAAATCCTTGCAAAACTACAGACCATAACTTGTACTTTGGCTAAAGAAGTCAGATTTCTGAGCTGTAAGCAACTGGGTTTTATTCATGGTGTTGTTATCAGCTAGTAACGATTGTGACATCTGTGCATAAAAACAATTATTAGTGTAAAAATATTTTTAGAGGGACTTAGGGGCAGGATTGACATTAGGATTAGGATTGGGTAATTATTAAATCAGATACTTATCTTTGTAATAGTAAAAAAAACTAAATGCATTCAACGTTTATCGCAATAATTATTTTTAATTCAATGACAGAATAACTTTATTTCTCTTTATTTCAATTGGGAATTGCGGCATAATACATATTCTTGTAAACTCTGTTCAACAGCTCAAGAAAAGAAACTCTGATACGGAAATTTTGGAATGCACTCTATTGCAAATTAAAGCTCTGAATGTTTTGTTAAATAACAATGTAAGCACTTTGATATGCAATCCCATTACGTGCATGCCATATGCTCTGTGTATTCTTTTACAGTTCCTGGCCATGAAGGGTGCCTTGTGTTTGGGAATCTAAATGATAAAACATGTGTCTTCATGCAAGGCCGATTTCACCTTTACGAAGGATATTCATTGTGTAAGGTAAGATACCCAAGATGTCAGCTTTGGCTGTGCTCTTTCTAGGGTTTGTGCTAGGGTGAGTTTTATGGCTGCAATAGGATTACAGTTTAAGTTTGGTTTCTTTCATACTTGGATTCTAGTGATGTTGTTGGAACAGACTGGCAGAATCATGGTTATGGTTGCATTTGGGGTGATTATACATCGATATTAGTCTTGGTTAACAATGGTCACTTGATGAACTTACTGTGCTGAAAACAGAACTTGACTTTATCTTTGAAATTTTAACCTAATTTAATTCAAATGTCTACACCCCTTGTTGAAACCCAGTGTAACTACAGTATATGTATCAGTGGGATTCCTCAGTTTATAACTAATGCCATCAGAGGGGGAACTGCTCATTTGTAACAATATTATACTCCATCCACAAAATACTCATAAAAAATAATTACACTGATACATTATATGCTGATACACCATTAATGGCTTAATTAACGATGTCACAAAATCTAGATACCTTATGAACAAATGTTATAATACATCCTGCCACAATTACATAATTAATTTAAACTACACAACTGTGATTAATAAGTGGCTGCAGAGCCTAGTTTATTCTTCTTTTCATTAATATACTACTACCAGTGTATTACTGTATATGCTAATGTTTTCAGTAATTAAATGCAGGATTTTCTTTACAGTGCAGTTCAAGAGTAAAGCTTTGTATTGCTTTCTAATGCTACAGAAGGCTATTTCAATAATATTTCTTTCACATCACGTCTTTGGTCTTAATAAATTATTTTTAGCACCTTTTATTCTTAATCCTTAAGCAGAGAGTACACTGACTGTATAAAGCCTGATACTTGTTTGTTTTATCACAATCTTACCCTTCAATAACAATAGCTGTTGACCTGCAGAGGAAAGGGGTGCCAATTTGTCAGAGCATCGCAAGCCTACTGCCTTAGGCCTTGAAAGTAATTTATCAAGGACAAGTGAATCTGTGGAAAGGTTCTCAGATTTATAAAACAGAAAAGATCTGACATCTATTGCATGGAACATTAACTTTATCTGTCACTATTAAAATCTTCCAAGTATGATGATAAAAAAAAAACATAACTAGAACTGCTGATTCTGAAAAAGACAGTAGAGCTCTGTACTGAAAAGACTGCATTGTCTGGCCTCATTGAAACAGCATTTGCACTTTTATCCCAGTAATAATTTCAGACTTGCTAATTGATCAATTGTTGGCTCTTAAAATTGAAAATCTATTAGATTAAGATTTAAGTGAATGTATGCTGTACATGAGTCTTTTATTCAAATTATATATTCAACCAAAGGATTGTTGATTTCTTCATTCCAACCATATTTTTAATAAAATCTACAGTAAGTATCTGTATTTATAATCTGAAAACAATGTACTATGTTAATTGTGCACAATTAACATGTTCCTGTTTCTGTGAAACTGCTGATACATGAAATCTGATATAATTTTTTTATAATTCTACCGAAGTCAGATCCCACTTGATTCCTAAATATTTTACTTAATTTTAACAAATACAAGAACATAAGACTGTTTACAAACAGAAGGCCCATCCAGCCCATTTGGTAGTCAGTATCTCATTGAATGGAATATCTCAATGATCAAGTATCTTCAGGAGCATGACTGGGTTCAGATCATGTCAGTTCCAGTGATGAGGGGTAATTTTTTTAATGTAAGGAATATAGTACAAGGTTTAGAGTGTGAAAAGCAAAAACTATAGGGTTTTCTTTAACATTTTTTACACATTTCAAAGGACCCATTTAATTGAGGAACCATAAGGCTGTTTCTCTAAAGCAGTAGAATATTGCCAACAGAATAAAGCTTTTCACACTCTAAACCTTGTACTATATTCCTTACATCTATTTGTAACACAATACATATAGAATACATATAGAATACATGTATTTGGTTCAGATCATGTCAGTTCCAGTGATGAGGGGTAATTTTTTTAATGTAAGGAATGTAAGGAATATCTATTTGTATATCTATGCGCTGAAATCATCTGTCACTCGTTGCATTGAGGATCTGCAATTTGCTCTAGGACCTAAGAAATCAAACTTTCCCCGGCATAAAGGTATTCTCTGCATGATTACACTGTTGAAAACACTGGTATTAACAGGCCACCTGTTCTATTTCCACATGGAAATCAGGAATTCTGCTCAGGAAAGTACCAATTTCACTGGTCATTTTTAACACCATTAACACCAAAGACCTCAAAGTAAGAGCCCAATAGGTAATATGAGACTAAACATCTGTTGCCACCAGTTTTTTTAAGTGCTTCATGTTCACTGACATGATTTTTCAGTAAATACTGATCACGTCTGTGAAAGTGTATCCGCAATCTTATTCAACGATCATCAACAGTCATACAGTACATTTATAAACGTACTTATTTGCTGCAAATCCCCATTACATTAAAGGATATAGAATTGTGGACTACTATCTGCAAAAGATACAAAAACTTTATGAAAACTACTTTGTATCACATTACTGCGTAAGATAACTATGTACTTAATGACAAAATGTAATTGTCCTTTCCTTCAAAGGCAGAATTCTGGAAATATGAGCAAAGCTAGTCTTGGTTTACAGTAATTCTTGAGCCTATGATTAAAGTAATAGTTGAGCTTATAGTTTTTCATGCTTTACTGTCTCGAAATCTGTAACCGAATATATCAAAGTGTTATCTGGAAGAGCATAAATACCTGATATTTGTTTTTTTTTGCAAATGACATATTTTATTGATGAGGAACAATCTATAGCAGATTATTTCATTTTTAATATTTACAGGACTCAAGGGTTAATGCTAAGCCAAAAGACAGTTGGTTATGTTAAAGGCACAATTACGATAGTACAGTTTTTGTTTTTAAATCATAGGTGACTCAACAACCTGTAGAGAGAAAGAAAATGTAATGAAGATTACCATGCACATCTCCATTACATTAATTATTCTTGATGTGCAAGTAAACACAATCTTTGTTTTTCATTCCTTAAAAGCATTTATAAAAATTCTGAAGAAAAGTAAAGAACAATAGCAGTGATCCTGCAAAAAAAGCTTACCTAGTGTGTAAATAATTTAAAAAGTAGTAAAATATTAATGCCATAGTAGGTTATGTAACTGGCAAACATTGAAATGTTGAAATCTTGTGCACAGTGGCAAATGTACAGTAAATACAAAGTATTAACATTTAGCAAAGGTTTATGAGAGGTTTCCTTTCATTCCTTTTATGGCATTTCCTACAAAAAGGATACTCTAAACCAAATAATAAATAAAGTGCAATTAATGAACCCATTCTTAGCATAGCTTCATAGCACAGCTACATTTCACTCTGCTGTCCTCCCCATGGTATTTACTCTCTGTTCAGTATACCAATTGTTCTCAAAGTTAATCGGTTAATATTCATGCTCATTTGAGTCAAACAATGCTAAGAAATATTTTATGGACATTACAGTACATGAGGGGATCCCCGTCTTTGTCTTACTTTCTCACCACAAAATAAAAACAGATATCTTAAACTGTAGTAAAAGTTACTGATTATCATGACACATTAGCAAAAATAATCCTACTGTAACATGCACAACAAAACCACCAGGGAGCAGGAGATCAGAAACTAGAATCGACTGCGAGAGTCAACTGCAAAATCCATTTAAAAGTTTCTACTTCTTAAAATTGGACTTACAGTACTGAGCACTCATGGCACAGACTGTGAAAAAGTGCATTTGTGACAAGAAAGCAAACTCCAACAGAGAATCTTCGAAAACTGCCTCATAACGAAAGGACAAAGACCCTCTATCTGCCGATATTCCTCACACTGTCAGTTGCTTTCAGAGGGGGCCTGTATCATTGGCTGCTTGTCTCAGTCTCAATACATCAAATAAAGTGGAAAATCAATCTCCAATAAATTTACTTGGTACACACCATATAGATGCAATTTTAGCTACAGACCAACTCCAGTCTCACTGCTGTCTAGTTTGACCACTTTTACAAATGACATGAGGTAGCCCCAAACCATCAGTTCACAAAAATACAATCAATCAAACAAAAAGAAAACAAAAGCAACAGCTTCTGATTACACACGTCATAAAAGAGTCTAGTTTGTCATTAACTAGATTCGCAGTTTTTTTTTATATTGTACATCCAATCTAAATTCTAACATACTGCTCAGACAGACACGTTCCATTCACTTTTATTTTGTTCCGAAACTATTTTTCTAGTTACTGCCATTTTGTCTTCTAAGCGAAAAGGTTAACAGTACAATTTCAATGTTCACACTTGATGGTAGCATGGTACCATTTCCAGTAAGTCACATAATAGCCATGGTACTATGTTTTGCTTTGATAGGCAGATTATTATGTGTGTCTTTCCCTCTGGACACCCCCTGGTATCAGAAAAATGTAGAAGGAAAAAATGTACCAAGAGCAACTGCAGAAGCTACCACAAAGCTACTGGATACCTCAAAATCTTTGGTTTTTGTAGGACAAGGCCTGTTACTGGACTTAGAATTAAGTGTTATTAAAGATTTTTAATCATCTTTCTTTGCCTTGACCAAGAAGCCTGGCAAAGGAATGTGGTCCCTCTGACAAGAGACATTCTAAAGCTGTATCAAAGCTAAACAGAGTAATGATACCTGACTTTTCAAGCCACATGACTGTTAGCAGTCAAGATGTTTACTTATCTCCAAGATGCCAGGCCAAGAAAGTAAAGTGCAGAATTCTGTCCAACACATTCTTTCTGCAACAGAAGAAACCTTGTTCGCAAACCCACTGTTAATTTTGCCATCAACAAAATGGTTAACGAACTACATCCGTTGGAATCTTTCTTTTTATGTTGACATCCTGAATATTCTGGCAGATTCAGAACCAAGCTAAATCCAGAACGAACCACGTTCTCCCCATCTGTCTACCTTGCAGCCAGACCCCAAAAAGACAAATTGTGTGCAGACTGTTTGTAAAGACCGAAGTTCAGCAAGACGCTAACTTCCAATGAGTCCAACGTTGGCCTCGTCTCTTCTGTCAGCATTGGGACCCTCTCAGCACAGAACAGTTGCAAGTCAAATCACAGACCTATCAAGCCCAGCTCTGTCTTACCAGCAGGAAGTTTAACACATCAAGATTGTCGAGTATAAAACTTCTTTATTTACACTTTAATTCTCAAGAGTTGAACTATTATTCAAAAACACATTTGATATTTAGTTCACGGTACTAAATGCATAATTACTTGGATCTGAGAATATAAATATGATGTAATTATGTGACACCGATATGACGATATAGACCATAAAATTTATGTGACAGTCCATGTGTTTAAACTCTGAAGTCATTAACTCTGATCTTTGTAAACCCAGAGTAAATGATCAGTTTTTGATATCACAGTAGATCATTTCAAATATGTTTTATTATGTTTTTTTTTTGTTATGCATATTTAGCTCTATATCAATAAATTGTAAATTGTATATTTAGAATCTGTGTGAAACCATAAGTTATTATGTTTGATTGGTACCTAAAAGACATCTAGTACTGTCGCTATTTAATGTTGCAGTTCTGATTGTGACCCCATATCACCTACACATGCACTATGTTGTTGGAAGATAATCTTTCTTTTGCACTTATGTAGTTTATAGTTTTAACCATGGTTAAAACTATTTTGCACATTAACTGTATGAAATAAAATTTAAATAGTCTAAATTAAAATAGTTTACCATGGTAAGTCTACTGTATGTTGAATTTTCACAGGTTTTTATAGGTTTACCATTTAATACCATATTTATGCTATGTGTATGTACCTTTATGTTAGACACTTCAGCAGTGTTTTACAATGAATGCTCTATGCATTTTAGTTTTTTTTTACTGTGCCATCACAATAAATCAGTAACAATAAACAAGGCTCTGCAATTGAAAGATTGTTTCGTTCTTTGCTGCATTTTAACTAGTATAGATTATTGGAGCAGCAAAACATATACCTCTTAAGAGCAAGTGATATTGCTAAATGTGTAGGAAAGTCAAAATAAGCAGCAATATCATTTTAATAATGCAATATTTCACAAAACTATCTTACCGTACTTACCCAACTGAGGCTCATATTAATGACTTCTGTTGTAGTTTGGAAAAGAAACCTGAGGCAGGATTTAAATTAATTTTCTGAAACTGAATTCAGCATCCATATAGAGGAGCAGGTCTGTTTTGCATTTCCTGTTTTATTATCCAGGTATCTAGGAAAGATTTTTAGCAGGGGTTTATTATAATTCTTGCATTATTAGCCCATAGTTTTTCCACTCTTTGAATAAAATCACTCATGCTGTTAAAATGCAGTGAAAGTCCTGCAGTGGCTTTATCTGACTGTTCAGTTTCATACAAAGCAATTTAGCACTGCAAGGAGATTTACTGCAGGTCGTTGTAGGCCAAATGTATCACCTCAATGCACAAGAAACATGTTTAACATTCTCAATGTCTACTGTAAAAGCTCCACCAGGCATTGTAAGCTTCACTGGGGAAAAGGGGCTGTTTTCACTTCCTCTATTCTTCATAATTATGGAAAATATTAATTATACACTTTGCCCATCCAGAGGGAGGTCGAGATTGAGCAGCTGGATAAGATATCTGGCATTCAGACTTAGTTACCAATTAGTGCTCTGCGGGTTGATGGCCACTTTCCCTACCTGACTTTTCACTCCATAGTTAATTAGGTTTTCATGAGTCACTGTGCTCTAAAGGACAAAGGGCTTTTACGTTAAACAGAGCTATTCCTGTATGCATACAATAATTACTTACACACTCTTTGCATCCTGGTAGATGCATTATCCTCTTTACAGTTACAGTATATGTAATTGAAACAGATGTTTAAACATTTTTCCACACAATAGGAAATGAAGCAAAAAGGCCCTGCAGGCGTATTGACAAGCTCATGTTAAATTGACAGCAGTTCTAGGTGCTGTATGAGAACATGCAAACACTTACAAATGAGAGGAGGCCATGCAGCTCCCATAGTTCACGAGGTTACCAGTTGCTCTTTGAATCTTATCCAGATGTTTCCTGAAAGAAGTCAAGACGTCATGGCTAGGTAGATAGTTTCAGGCTCTAGCAACTTCCAAAGCATCCCCAATGAAGTGTTTTACAACGTAAAATGTCATCTTAGTGTAGCAGTTGCGACTTCCAAGAGAGACATTTGTCAGGGAAACACTATGGGACTTGAGGTGGATGTCTTTTCTGGAGGGGAGAGTAGGGCATTAAAGTGAGGTTCTCTGTGTATTTGAGTTTTTAAAATAGCATCACTCTTCAATATAAGTATTTGACCAAAAGAGTCTAATGACAAATAACCTGTTCTGCTCGCTTTAAAATTCTTGCACGTCTGTTTGAATCCTCAACCTGTTGATGTGCACCTGTGTAATTCCAGTGGTAACAAATTACTCTACTGCTTCAGCAACTCATAGAACACTGTATTTGTCCTTAGAGATTTCATTTAAGCTCTTCTCTGGTTTTACTCTGCATTTTAATAACTAAAAAGGCAGAAGAATTCTTATAAAAAGACTTGAAACTGAATATGAGGGAATAAGGTGGGGGAATTAGTTAATGTTACACAAATTTGGTTGCACAGTTCTTTAGAAATGGACTCATTTTCTCATTTTCATGCAGCTGGATATATAAGTAGATGGAGCTGGAAAAAGTGAAACACTTCAGCAAAATCTAATCTGATTTAAAATATGTATGAAATAAGGTTTTGAGTATTAAGCATACAAAAAGTCTAATTTTGTGAATATACAGTAGGATTTTGACCATTTCAGTTCGGGCCATTAGTCTTTGTCTTTCCTAGAACTAATAAACTTTTGGAATCACAGGCCGGAGTGGACCTACAGCTGTTGACCGTGCATAGAACTCATAATAAGAAATGCAACAGGTGATTCACGGAAGAAAAAATGCCTATCATATGAATTAAGGTGACAATGTCGAACTCATTTGGGATGTGGAATTACACAAAAATGAAAGGCTATGTAACAGAATGTGATGTTGAACTTCACTCTGGTCTACTACACATTCATGCACCCTGACACACAAACACGGCTGTTCCCATTGTCCAGGATCGTAGATGAAAACACTGTTTTGCTTTATAATGCTGAGGTACTAACAACAGGAGTACTAGCTTATTTCTGAATTGTGAATCTCTCTAACCAGCCCAATTTCCATGTTTCTTCTATTGACTGCATCAACTCTGTGTAACAGGTTTTTTGTTGATTGTCACATCTGTTCAAGGGGTTTCATCTGTTAGCTGTACCTGTCAGTCTGACAGTTGCTTGACAAGGTATGACATTCCTATTGAGCTGCTCTGTACGGATGCAATGAGCTCATTATTCATACCTGTTCACACCCCCTAAATGTGACAGTTCTGGTAATGGTTTTTCTGAGGAATTCTATATTTATCTCACTGCCGCCCAAGACCTTTTGCTATTATTCCTCAATGGTGCTGCTCCCAGAAATGACTAGTCATATTCACTCATGGGATAAGCATTAGATAATCTCTGTGCAAGAGATCCTTTTAGTGAAGGAGCTGATGAAAAGGTGAGTGAGTGGTGATATACTGGCCCGTGGAAGCCAAAGATAATAATAACAACACTGTTTTTTCAACAGAGTATACCTTTACAAGAATGTTGCAAAAACTGGGATCTTATGAATCTACTGTATGTATATCACTATCTCTCAAAAGATTAATTCTATAATTGCAGAAGGCAGGTGTTCAAGGTAATGTATGTCTTAAATGGTGAACTGGTTTATGAATATAGATAAGGGGTGAATGTTCATATTGGGGTGACTTGATTTGTAGAGTAGCAGAGAGATCGGTATCATGCTCTTCATAATTTATCTAACATATTATATCATAATTTATATTTGATCTAGAATCTAGCTTTTAGACAGTAGCATTGCCACCTTGTATACAGATTTCATTATACCTGTAGATCATTTCCAAGGATTTATTTTTCATTTCTTTGCTTGAACAGCTGTTTATTTTTATTTTGTTGTTGTTTTTTAACCATAGTGCTCAGTTTGGGAATCCCAACAATCAAATTAGTATGTTTAATATTGTATTGATAGGTTTATGTACATAAAACCTCTTGAAATGATAGATTTTGACATTAAATGCCACCAAAAGCTTTGCACACAACAGAATATCAAGACATCCTGTGGTTATATAGAAAAATGTCATATGATATCAATGATTAGAATGATTTCCTTCATTTTAAAATGTTCATAACTGTAGAACACAGGATCATTAAAGAACCAAATTCTATTAACAATCCTGTTTTCAACATCCAGAATTCACCTTCTTGTCTTCCACACAGTGGTAATACGAAAAAGCGTACGTATAAGATATGCATAAGCATACAACATGAATAACTATTTTTCTGTTTGATTTTCAATGATAGGTAACATTTCCTGTGAGAATATTTAAGCTAATGGGAGTGGAGACCATTATTGTAACAAATGCTTCAGGAGGCTTGTGCCAAGACTTCAAAGTAGGCGACATTATGATCATTAAGGACCACATTAACTTGCCAGGCTTTGCTGGTCAACACCCACTGTGTGGGCCAAATGACGAACGGTAGGCACCGTCTGCAATAATGATGACACCTTTAGCATATAAAAAGGAGGCAATCTGGAACTTTCATATGAAATACAAGCAATGCGTAAGGTAGCGTATGTTGTGAAAACATTGTGAATACATCTGTTCACATTTGGTTTTGTTGTTATTGTTGCTGTTACTGGAAGTGGTTTATTAACAGCCTGAGACACCCCTGTCTATGTTTATAATTATGTTAATGCTATTTAGATTCTGAATTTCTTTGATGAAGGCTGACAGTATAATTCTAGTAAATAATTTTCAGTATCTGTGTCAAATGTCCATAAGCTTCAGCCGCTGATTTCCATGGTCATCACTTGCTTATACAACCAATAAACTAAAATACCAAAGAGAGAGGTAAGGTGCAAAATGACGTTTTCCTTAAAATGATCTACCAGAAATAAATGCTCACTCACCAAAGTGTGACAGGACCTGGTCCAGAATCCCATGAAGCGTAGTTCAGGACCCTATGCAGACAGTATAATCCGGAAGTAAGTGGTGAAGGACATCAGGGGAAGGTACAGCAGGATTAGGATGGGTTGACAGACAGGGGGCGGTGACAGCGGTGATCCGGTGCTGGGGGGACATGGCAAAGGCAAACAAGTCCAAACAGTCCTAATGGGGAATCTGGGGCGCAGTCCAGGGTCCAGGAAACGGGAGATCCATCTGAGACGAGACAAACAAGGTTAGAATCCGAAACAGGAATGGGGATTAAAACCAGGGTAACGAGGCCGGGCGCTCCGAGCCCCAGACTCACGGTCAGGACCCCGTGAGGAAGCCTATGCCATCAGGGTCTCTCCTGGACCCGCTGGTAGGCGGCTTCTGGGCGTCCATCTCCCAGTGCTGAGCCAGGAATAGCGAGAGCGCCCGGCTTAAATCATGAGAGACAAACGGGGGGCAGCTGCACATAATCAGCTAAAATACGAAAGGGTCGGAGCGCCCTTAAGAGGAGGGATGACAATCGTGACAAATAGTCTGTGTCAAAAAGCAATACCCCTTTGCACACCCATAGGAATTAATCCTGATCATGTCGTTGAAGGTTTGGAATTCGTTTCCCCTGCATGTCGGATGCCTACAGCAAAGAACTGCGGAAGCTAGCTCTGGATATCTCCGCAGAGCTGGGTTACTCAGACTTCGTAAGAGAAGGTGTATATTGCATGGTGAGTGGCCCCAACTTTGAGACCATCGCTGAAGCACGCATGCTGCACATTCTTGGAAGTGATTCTGTTGGTAAGCACAACTCTCGGAAATATTTGTGGCCAAGTCTTGTGCCATTCTCCTGTCAGGGTCTCCTTCAGTTGAAGTGGTGATGAGAGCAATGGTCATGAAATGAGTAATGGACTGAGCTGGAATGTAACTGAGATCTGGGGCTTGTTATGGTCAAGGAAAGTGATGGAAATCTCACTTTCCTCCAGAAAATTACACATTAACTTCCAGAGACAGTTGACTCGCGTCTCCTTTAAATAAACCATCTGATTGTAGACAATTATTCATCACTGAAACTGCTCTTGGTAAAGTGAGTACCTACAGAAATAAGTTTCCCCTTGGTCAAATACTAAAATCGAATGGTCTGAGGTACCATTCCTATACAGATGATATTCAAACCAATGTTTAGACTAAACCTGATACCAAGGTAGCTGTTTATATATTTCTGTTTTCACATATACATTTCATCGAAATAAAAAGTTATATTCAAAGTTTTTGTGTACATCCGGTGACAGACCTCATAGCTTGGGAAAAGAGCTTGGGAAAATTATTACTATTATTATTATTATTGTAGTTGTTTATTGTTCTTATTTTTCTTCACTAAATCAGAGATTCAAATGCAGGATGCAGTTCAGGTCATGGACTTGTGTAACCTCCAAATAAATATTACCAGAAAGTTTCAGATTACCTTTCAGTGCAGATTCCAAATACAGTAAATATGTTTGTTTTAAAATTGCCAATTTAAACAATTTCACAGTAAAAAGTTTCATTTAAAGATTAAGGATTATAATATTCAAGTATCTAATGTTGTTGCTGAAAAATAGTTGTAATATATTCCTAATCTCTTTGCCTGCTGTGATGTGAGATTCTAGAACTTTTTTTAAACAGGGAATAACTCTCAACTAATGTTTTAGTTTTAGTGAATGTTTCATTATGACATCTCACGGTTAAGGATACTATTAATTGATTTCTCTCTTGAAGACCATCAACAGCTCCAGTCTTTTTTACAGAGTACTGTTTACTGTTCATAAATATATCTACATTGAAACCACATTTGTTTCCTGGTGTATTTCAAAACCAAAAATCCCACAAAACTTTTCATGTTAATCCGACCTTAGAAAAATCAATAAAGAGCTGTTTTTTTCAGAGAATGAGGATTTTAATTTAACATAAAGACAGTAAGACATTATTATTTGGAAATAAATTTATCCAGTCATTACGTATATAGCATACTTGAACTAATATGTTAATACATCAAGCACTTTGAGATGAATGATTTTTTAAAAAGTGTATTATAATCCATCAGTTCATCCAGAAGCATAGTATAATATATGCAATTCTATTTCAATTGAAGCTGTTTTGCCAATACTTGATAATGGATGTACAAGAAAGCCTCTTTCAACAAGGCTGATTCATAGCTGTACTTGAAAGACAATCTGACCTTCTCCAAGCAATTACATTTGTTTCTTCATCACTTTGTCAGAATTCCTTGTGATACAGCCACCTGTGCTAATTAACAAGGCCATAATGCATATAATGCGTTCCAAAGTAAACAATAAAATAAGAAAACCCAAAAATGTTCATCACATATGTTTTCTTGCTATGGGAAAACCATCCCAATTAAGCATTAACAGCAAGCACTGAAATGGCTTTGGCTAACATGTATTGCTTATTAATGATGCAATGGAAGCCCTGTGGTGTGCTTTTCCCATAAAGTTAATTGCCATTTAATTAAAAGCTTTCTTTCTCCATCTCCTGAAGGCATGAGCACGATTCCTGAAGTGACTGTAGCGAAGCACTGTGGGCTACGTGTGTTTGGGCTCTCCCTCATCACCAACAAAGTGTCACTGGATTACAGCAGGGAAGAAAAAGTCAATCATGAAGAAGTCCTTCAGATCAGCAAGACGAGGGCTGAAATGCTGCATAATGTGGTCAACACCCTGATAGCTAAATCCGATCAGATCGATGGGCCAAACAGCAACTAAACCCAAGGGATTTATTCATACTCTATATCCCATGAAATAATTACCACCCCAACCCAATTAATGGGCAAATATGTGATGCTTGGGTTCATGATTAGCTCAAGAGCTTTGCATCAAGCACATTTTCTCAAAAGTCATTAGTTCAATGTTTGCTTCAAAAATGAAAAATTAAACAGAAGAAACGGTCCCACTGTGACACAGGAAAAGCCCAAGGTAATTTGCCAAAATGAAATATCAGAAAACGTTCTGTATCTGGTTAGTAAATTGTAGTTAAGAGTATTTGAGGGAACATGGTTCTAATTTTAACCAAAGTTCTGTTCCTGAAAAATAAAATAATTCATTATAGTTTCCACAGACATCAAACCAGGTCCTAATTGAGAGAATATTCTGGTGTTATTTCAGATTTTATATTTTCCCAAATGTACCTTAATTATTTATCAATTTTACAGTGAAGAAGGCACAGAGCAGGGTGGAAAACCGTGGAATTCTGGATTATGTATGAACGTCTAATGGGTTGATTGAAATGTGATTTTAGTAGCTTCTTATTAGGCCATGAGTGGCACATATGGGGTACTCATTACCAGATGGGTTATTTAAATTGTTTTTTAAAAATTGCCTTCTTATGGAAAGCTATTTCGGGGTAGAAGACTTCCACATGGATTAATCTAAATCTGATCTAGTGACGCTTCTGTCAGTATCTCTCCTGCCACGAGGATGGAATAAAACATTTAGTTATTGGGAACCAGGGACCTTGAGCTCAAAGAAAAACCAGCGCCCTTCCTTTCTTTCCACTGTGAAGTGGAACCCTGGGAGAGAGGGAATGTGCTGGTTCTTGCTAACTGAGATGCCATAGCAGTTTTCCGGAAATTGAAGTGGCAAAAACATCATAAAATGAATCTTGCTGCCTTCATTTACCCGTGAAAATCGGAAATATTTAAGCATCCTTCAAAGATTCAATTAATCAGTGAAACATGCTTCTGTCAAGACCATATGCTCCTCTTCTGTCTGTTATTAATACCTGTGACAAAATTGCCAGTTTCAAAATAATTATTAGTGTTATGAATACTAACACCACACGAAGAACAGTTTTGTAGTTTAATTTGCAAATAGAAAATAAACATATATGGGATGCCTCAAATATCTGCAGAAAGATTTGTATTTACATAAATAATGAGAGTTGATTCAATACTGATTTAAATTAAATTTAGATTTAAAGCAAAGTTTCATATTGAGTTCTTGAAAAGCCTGATGCATAAACTGTCCTTAACATTGATGCTGTTACAAGAATAAAGAAAAAACAGGTGTGTTTGTGTTTTTATTTTCTTATTTTCATATTTTCTCACTTACAGTACCACCAGTATTACTCTGTAGCACAAAACATTTTTCTTGGAAAAAAACTCAAGAGCTTTACTTTCTCATTCATGACATTCTCTTGCCCTTGTGAATCATTATAACCAACAACCTACAGTACAGTATGTGTCCTACTGATTAACGCTGGTGTCTCTAGTCCATTTTCATAGACTTGTGTGTGACAGAGTCAAATTCAAAGTTTTTTAAAGATATGTGTCCTGTGTTTCTGCCTTTTTTCATCACACTTTGTTTTTTATTGTGCTCTAACATGTTGCACCCATTCATTTCCAATCCTTTTACTGATTTATTTCACTATCATTTCCCGGCTGCTTGTAGGGGAGGCTTCTGTAAACATCCATTATCAGAAAGCCATTTATTCTGGAGAGGTAGTTGCAATCTGGAGCTTGTCCCAGAGGAATGGGGCACAGGACAACAGACTTGGAAGAAACATTTTTCACTAGTAATTTGTGCATTTGAGTGCAAACATTTCTTTACACATTTCTTTACAGTTTTGACAACTTTTAATCTAAATTTGGGCTTAAACTTAGCATGTATGATATGGAATATAGATTATGAAATAAACATATAGTATACTGTAAATGCATATAATTCAATTGAAAGAATTCTTCCAAATTTGAACTCACCATATATAGTATGCTTATATGTAAACCTATTTGGGATCCTGTTGAGTGAAAGGAGCTGTACTCTTATGATACACATGGAACACACACAGTGTCTGTACTGCTTTGTCCCTTCACCAGAACTGAAAAACGTACAATATGAAAACGTAATAAATCAGAGAATTGACTACTGTATATGCATTTTCCACAGCCCTTTCAAAATGTTCTAGTTGCATTTCTGTTTATAAAAATGTCTCCACTTTTAAAAATTGTAATTACTTTTCAAGTCATTATCTTGATGGTAAAACGGACCGTTGCACATTACTGTCGGCAGAAATGTACAGAGAGTCATATTTTATTTCCTGCTATGTCTTTCCACAATTTAACTAATAACATAACTACTTCTGTGCCATCCATTTTAACTCATTGGGGTGCCACCAGCATGGAGTTTGTACTGTATGTTTACCCTGTGGTCCCCTGGATTTCTTCCAGGTGCTCCAGTTTCCTCCCACAGTCCAAAGTCTTACTGGTACGTTAAGCTTCTGGGAAAAACTGGCCCTGGTGTGTGAGTTTGTGTTTGTGTCTGCCTTGCGATGGACTGGCGTCCCGCCCGGAGTGTATCCTGCCTTGTGCCTGTTGTTTGCCAGGATAGCCTCTGTTTCCCCCACAATCCTGTATTGGATGAAGCAGTTAGAACATACATGGATGTTCTGTATGCAGCTGCTGTAATAGTGCTTCCTGTCACGGAAGCCGGGTTGGTCTCCCGTGGAGGGTGGTGTTTAGATCCTATGCGAGGCGGCGAATCTGGAAAAGGGACCATAGATTGGGGTCAGGGGAGACACACGAGGTTTATTGGTACTCACAGGAAAGTAGGGAAGTTAGTGCAGGAGTGTCCGAAATCCGAAGACAAACATATCCAAGGAAGTTCAAAGGGAGGTCAGGAAGCAGCCTATACGTCCATTGCCGGGAGATTCATAAGGAGATGCAGACTAACAAGAACACAGACGAGACGAAAATTCCAGGAAGTACGGGGCTCTCTTCCAAGCCCCGGGCTCAGCGGGGCGGGGAGCGTAAACAGGCCTGTGCCCTCGGGCTTCCTCCCGAAGCCTGGTGGTAGGCGGGCCATCAGGCCACCGTGTTCCAGAGCTGAGCTCCGAAGGCAGGAAGGAGTAAACTTAAATAGGGGAGCTAAAACAAGGCACACCAGGAAATAATGCAGGTAGTAACTAAAAAGACTAACATAAGGAGGTTGGAGCGCCCTCTGTAGGAGAGGATGGTGACCGTAACACTTCTGGGTTCTCGGAAAGTGTTTCGAACTAAAACTGTATTTTATTTTTTTATGAATAAGCACAGAAACAAACAGCATGTCTAATTTAATAAGTAATCAAAAACTTTACTTACAGTGCCTACCATTTCCAATTTTTTGACTGCCATGAAAGTTGAATTGATCTATTTGAAGATCTGAAAGGACAACACAAACACACAAGAGAACATTTTTTTTCAGCTTCAGCTTAATCGTATCACTCATTTCATTATCTCAACATTGTCTTTTGCAGCTACAGAAAAAGTCAGTATTATAAACATCCTCTTATTAAACAAAATGATGAAATGAAGACTGGCGCCACTTACTTTACCATTATCAGAAAAGCAGACTTTTTTGTTAGGACTGTTTACTTTCATAATGGTCTAATTTAAACATGCCCTAAAGTGATAGAGATGTTATAGGCCCGATACTGCATATGCAAAATGTTTCTATTAACAGCAGAAAAAAATACTACTTTGGAAGGCTGAGAGGTAAATCACACATCTCAGTTATATGTAAGCAAGAATATTTGTAATCAGTTATTTTTTCTACCATACATTTATTTCCTGTAGCAACTTCATTAACAGTAGCAGAAGGATTCAACATGATTTTCTTTAGCTTCCTGACATATTTGGCCAATCCTCTATCCCATCTGTTCGTTCGTTATCCTGCACAGTAAGTGGAAATGTGAATTCAAACGGTTCAGCCTCCTTTATAACTGAGTTTTTTCCAAAGTGTGTCATCTCATTAAACTGAACAGTGTTGCTGTAATTATTAAAACAGTCTTATCACTAGTACACGTTACTGAAATGGCCCCTATCCAGACCAAAATTATTTTTTTAGTCTTCATTTTGCAGCTGTAAAGCAAATTAATTCATTTTTGAATAAATTAACATCCATAACAGGAAATTAACTGATTTCCATAGCCAACATTAAGTAATTGTGTCATCATTTATATTCACAGGGTTGGTACCCATTGTTTTTTACAGCAGAGGACAATTGTAATTATTGGTATAAATTATAAAAAATGTAGCAATGCTGGATAAGCAAAGGGGAACTAATTAAGGTTTACAAAATCAGTATAAATTATTTAAGGATAAAAGTTTTGAGTGTGAGTTTGAATAATGATGTATTTATGCAAAAGAGGAAGGAGAATAATGTACTGATGAAGTAATACAAGTGAGTAATTGTAGGTCTAATTCTAAAACACTTAAAGCTAAAGGTAGCTCATTGAACTTTTTTTTCAGATTCTCCAAAATGGGGTTTTATCCACATCCTCTTGGTCCTAGAGAAGGTGGCAGCTAACTGGAGCCTAAGCTAGCAGACA